GCATCTTCTTTCTCTTCATTAATGTCTCTGGTGGAAAGATAATACAACGATAGAGAATCTGATAACGGAAAATACAACTTTATAAGTAAATCAACTTATTATCCGTTGGCTGGCCTTTCCACTAACAAGATCAACTTTTCAGCTTTTGGCAGACCGATCCAATCCCAACGGTTCATTGCATAACACCGCAACTCAAGTTCTTGATGATGAATGTCAAGACCGTGATCAATACTCAACTTACTGGAGAAAATCATCCCATATGGAAATCACAGATATTGAAACTTTTTTTGGCAAATGGCTTTGCCGGTTATCTTGATGGTTCCTGTGTTCCACCACCAGAGCAATTGATTGCTTCCGATGGCACGACAACTCCAAATAAAGCTTTCCAGACATGGATGCTTGTTGATCAAAATCTGGCTTCGGCGCTTTACTCTACTATCTCTGCCTCTCTTTTACCATATGTCTTGAATTTAGAGACCAATCATGACATCTGGATGACTGTGGATAAAAGATTGCAGTCGACCAATCGGTCTAGAAAACTGCAGCTTAAGAGTGAGTTGCATCACATTCAAAAAGGCGACAAATCCATGGTTCAATATTTATCGGAAATTAAACAAAAGGTCGATGCCATAACTGCCTCTGGTTCTACAATTGATTCTGGTGACATTTTGATGTACACTCTTAATGGCTTGCCTCCGGCATACAATACCTTCAAAACTGTCATCTGCACACAACTTGCTCCGATTGGTCTTGATTATTTCTTCTCCCTTCTCTGCAGTGAAGAACTTAGTCTTCATGCTGATACTCCGATTAATACAACCTCTGCTACTGCCAATGATGGAACATTTGCACTTCAGGCATTTCGTGGTCGTCCACGAGGTCGAGGTTTCAATGCATCTTCTAGTCGTGGTCGAACTGTAAGTCAGTCTTCACGAGGAGGTCACAGTTATCCTCCCTCTACTCGCGGCGGTCATCGTCCTCGATCTTCTGTCCAGTGTCAAATTTGTACCAGACGGGGGCACTCTGCCTTTCAATGTTGGTATAGAGTTGATCTATCCTACCAACCTCCGCAACAAGCCTACATTGCCACTGATCAATAAACCACTGATGACTGGTTTCTGGATTCCGGAGCTACTTCTCACTTAACGTCCAATTTCCAGCAATTGCAGCTTCCGCAAGCTTACATTGGTTCTTCTCAAGTTCAGGTTGGGAACGGACAGAGTATTTCCATTGCAAATTCCGGTCAGGGCATTTTACCAACTCCGTCCTGTAAGCTACGTCTTCCAAAAATATTACATGTTCCCCAACTCTCACATAATCTGTTAGTACACTAATTACTAGTGCCGCAACATCCATAACACCCCGATGCTAGCTTGATCAATACATGACAGAGCAGGAGCCTAAAAAAAGTCCAAATATATGGGGTAGATGTTACAAGAAGATTGATGGTTGATTACGAATCCCTGAGATAATCAATCTAATGTGGGTGCAGCTACTTGTGCACAAACCATTATCTTCAACTCGGTAGAATATGCTTATCCAACAAATTTATCAAGATGTAACTTACACAAGGGTTGGATGAACCTTCAGTGGCTTTATTAAAAATATAACTCTTCATGACTGTTAGATATGATAAATTGAAGAAAACCTAAGAAAGATTTTAGCATAATGAAAATAAGATGAGTAGAGGGTAACTGTGTAGTCTCCTCCATGCTTAGCAATTATGCTTAAATAGAAGTAAGATCAGGCCACGATAATGACATACTCCTTAATGAGGCCTATATGCATTATTCTTCAAGTAGTGAAAAAGAAATACAACGATATTCTTACAGTAAAAAATAATAATAATTTCTGCCATAATCAGCTACACCTGATTTCACTTTTAAGGCCATAATGCTTGTCAAACACTACCATCAAGGAAGACTACGTAAGAGTGCAACAATAAGCCCTCAACAATAAATGACTTGTCACATTAGCCAAAATCACTTTTTCCAACATTCAATAACAACAACAACAACAACAACAAGCCTTTATCCCACTACGTTTAGGGTAGACTACATGAATCCTTTTCTCCATTATATCTTGTTAAGAGCTATATTCTCATTTAAATCTATAAAAGAAATGTCATTTCTAATATTTTTTAACCAAGTCATTTTAGGTCTACCTCTACCTTTTTTAACATAAGTCAAATCTAATACATCTCCTCTCCTAGCTAGGCATCAGAAGACCGTCATTCTATGTGACCAAAACCATCTAAGACAACTCTCTCTAATCCTATCTTTCACTAGAGCTACTCCAACCTTTCACGCATATGCTCATTTCGTATCCTATCTCTAAGAGTAAAGCCACTCATCCACCTGAGCATCCTCATCTCTACAACACTTAACTTAATATTATGATTCAAGTTTAATGGTCAATATTCTGTGCCATAAAGCATCGTAAGTCTCACCATCTTATAGAATATTCCCTTGAGTTTGAGGGGGGGACTTTTTCTATCACACAACATGTCTGATGCATTCCTTCACTTCAACCATCCAACATGCATTTTATTAATAATATTCCCATCTATTTCATCATCACTTTGAATAATAAACCCAAGATATCTAAAACGTGTACTCCTATTAATGACTTGATTGCCCAAAGTCACAATTCCACCACTAGATTTATTGCTACTAAAACTATACTTTATATATTAGATTTTATTTCTACTCAAATGAAAACCTTTATACTCTATGGTTGAACTCCATAATTCAAATTTCTTTCAACTCCCTCTCTAGTCATATCAACAAGAAGAATATTATAAAAAAAATCACACCATGGTACAACCTCTTGCAAATGTCTAGTAAGAACATTCATGACTAAAGCAAAAAAGATATGGACTTAAGGATGATCCTTGATTTAATCCAACTAAAATAGGAAAATATTTGGCCAAATAACCTTTTGTTTGAACACAAGTAACAACTCATGCATACATATCCTTAATGGAACATAAGCATTATTCAGCCCTTTTTTTTCTAGAACTCTCCATAACACTTTTCTTCGAACTTAACCATATGTTTTCTCTAAATCAATAAATATCATATGTAGATCCTCCTTACTCTCTCTATTCTCCATCAAACCTCTAAATAAATGTATAGCTTTCATAGTAGACTTACCCGACATGAATCCAAATTGATTTTAAGAAACATTAGTATCACGTCATAGCTCTATAACTCTCTCCCATAGTTTTAAAGTATGACATATTAACTAAATTCATCTATAATTCACACAATCTTGTGTATCACCAATATTCTAAAAAATAAGAATCAACACACTCATTTTTCACTCTTCTAACAAATTTTTAGTCTTCTAAATAATATTAAAAAGTTTAGTAAGCCAAGATATTGCTTCATCTCCTAAGTATTTTCACACTTCTATTAAATATCATCAGGTCTAACAGCTTTTCCACGCTTCATTTTTATTAAAGCCTCTCTAACTTTGATTTTACTAATACGTCGATAAAAATGATTTTTTTTTTTATTTAGGATGTTAAGATCACTAAAGTCAATCGTATTCTCACAATTTTCATTGAAAAGCTTAGCAAAATATCTCATTCATCTTTGTTGGATTCTCTTCTAATAAAAACACTTTTTGATCTTCATCCTTAATGCAGTTAAATTAAATTTGTACAATTCTTATCTCTTTATTTGACTAACTTATACATTTATCTTTCATTCTCCTTAATATCTAATATATTATATAAATCATTAAAATATAAAATCTTTGTATCACATATTATTTTTTTAGACTTCTTATGGGTCTCTTTATATATTTCTCAAATTTTAAAATTTTCATATATAAACTAATTTTTTGTAACAAATCTTTTTATTTTTGATCTTTTCTTGCATATTTTGATTCCACCATCAACTATTTTTATTATTATGAATTTTTTTCTTTTTGATACTCCAGGCATATTCTTTATAATATTTTTAATATCACTAGCTATTTTTTCCCACATTATATTAACTTCCTCATGCACAATAAGATTTAGAATATTACTCTCACCCCCATATAATCTTAGAATAATATTTTATTTTATTTTTTATATTACGGCTCATTAGCTTAAAGACTAAAACTTATAAATGGTGATTGAAGCATCTTCTTCATCTTCATTGATGTCTCTGGTGGAAAGATAATACGATGATAGAGAATCCACAAGTACAAAAGATGGCGTAAGCAATTACTAGGTCATGGATGTGAATTGATACGGATATTGCAACAGAAATGTTTGAAAGGTGGGAAGACACGTAATAAAAAGCTATTCATTAGCATCAAATTCAAAACATATGTATTCAAGTGTTTGGATCACATGGCTTGCATAGAACTTCCATATTAAGCTGATCTCAAATAGTTAGAATAGAATACAAGGCTAATGATGATGACAAATTGTTTTTCTTCTATACTTACTCATCCAACTTTATCTTTACTAGTTAAATTTTCTTAATTAGGGTTTAGTGTTGTGCATTTCTAGCTACATATAATTTACACATTAATATTTGCAGAATCTTTTAACATCATGCAGGCAGTTTCAGACGATTACATCCCATCGCTACTAAATAATATATTACCCCCTGAAAGATGGATTATACTTACCTAAATGTGACCAGTTTGTGTTTCAAGATAGAAAACACCAATAACACCTTCGATCATTCTAGAATAGGGTTAGCCTATCAAATTTGATTGAGGTAAATCTGATATGGGATAAGATGGTTGATCTAATGAAGAAAATTTGTTTTATGGGTGGGATTGAACATTATCTACTACTGAACATGAGTGTCTTACCAACATGTTCTTCAGGGTTAGCCTGTTAAACAGTTTGACAGAGTTGTTGCATAATTCAAATGTTTAAGTTAAAACTTTAAATCAGCATATATGTTAAAAGAAAAAGAAATTATATTGCATCATTGAGGCTCAAAAGTGGGAAGGGAATCAAAGAGGAAGAAAACTAAAACAAACGTAGAGAACAGAAAAAATCATGGTGCAGAAAGTATTTATAGCTCAAACCGAGGTGATGTATATATGGCAAGGTAATGCACTCTTAACGAAGCAGTTGTTGCCAGCAAGTACAAAGATCTAGAATGGCATTAAATCACATATTTGTAACAAATTTCAAATTAAGACTATTTTTTCTTATTAACTTCTCCATAAATACCGTCTCATTCGAACCCTTGTACGTCGACATATCAAGAAAAACACTCCCATGAAAGAGGCCACCTCAATTACTGTAATTATCTTCAGTCCTGTCGAAACCAAATTGTAAAAGTAATGTCATTTCACTATTTAATACACCACTCAACTCCAATCACCCAGCCAAAACCCGCATTAAGGTGCGTGTACCTTCTAGATTTTGAAGAAAATCATCTAGGTCAACTTTAATTTTCTTGTCCTTGATATTAAAGTTATTGATTTTTGTTTCCGTTGAATGATGACCACCACCTGTATTCAAATCATAAGTTCCATTTTTGACGCATGTGTTTCGACATACAATACCACCATCATACTCATCACTTCCATCGCAGCAATCTAGAAGAATTTTCATTAAAACAGAAAAAACAGTCATACAAGTAGCAAATTACAACATTTGATATAAGACAACGTAGGTAGACAAAACTATAGAAATAAAACGAAAGGTAAATGACTAACCACAAATATGATCATTCACTCTAGAAGAAAACAATAGTTGTGGGACATCCCCAATATTCCTGCAATAAAACTTGCTCTCAGGGCAGGCAGATGTTCCTGCATTGCTTAATAAGATCAAATAATCAATAAAAAAACTATGTGGATTACTCAAGTGTTTAAGATATGGGGAGGGGGGGAGGGGATTGATGTATCCCGTAGGCACAAGCCCGTGATGTTAATTACATCTTACTTGTCACAAAGAACACTCTCAATTGAAGATATTATAATAATTCAAAAAAAAAAAATATTAAGATATTATTGTTCTCATGTATGGTGACTGAATTTGTGTTTAGTGCATGGTTGGGGAATCGTATGATCAAACTCAATCAAGATTGCATGGTTCTATCACCCCTTATTAACCTAACCTGGCGGACTCAATTTATCAATGACGAAGAGCTACGACCCACATTGTGCAAGGAGTTTGACTGACAGCTATAAGTTCCCTCGTATTATATGTCACAAGTAAAGCAACGGGGAGTGTGTATTATAGGCTATTCACATTTTTTCCATAAAGATTGATAGAGGTGAACTTGGAGTGTGCATTATAGGGGTTCATGTATCCTCTAGGTGCAAACCACTGAACTTAAGTACATCTTAATTGTCATACCAGAGAACACTCAATTTATTTCTTTCATACATGGTGATTGGATTTGTGTCTAGTGCATGGTTGGGAAATCGTATAATCAAACTCAATCAAGATCGCATGGTTCTGTCATCCCAAGTTATTCCGGTGAACCCAATTGATCAACGACGAAGAGCTATAGCCCCACATTGTGCAACGAGTCTTACTAACAGCTATAGATTCCTTCCTATTATATGTTCGAAGTAGACCGAGGTAGAATGTGTATTATAGGTTACTCACTTTTTGTCCGTAAAACTTGATAGCCGTGAACTTGAGTAGGATACAACTAAGTGAGCCAATATGGCTAACATTTCAAAGGTCTTGTTACATGACCAACAATGTCTAGCACTCCAAGCTCAAAAAATCCATATTATAATTAGTTGAGAAGATTGTTAAGTGACTAATTTAGTGACCTGAGGGAAGGTGCTCAACCTTCTTTCAAAAGGGTCAGCTTCCTAAAGCATGCAAATGTGTGGAAGTTTGGAGTACCATATAATGACCTTCGAGATTGTGGCTCATATCAAATATTTGACACAAGACGGTCTCTGAATGTGTCTACTGAGATTAGCATCTACATGGTACCTGATATATTGTTACATCCACAAGTTGTCTTAAATTTAAAATCCTAGGTAGGATTGAGCTTTTGGTTGGGTACAACTACTTTGGGATTCTTATGTACTGGATATTGAAGATAAGCTTGTTAGTTTAGCAGCAACCTAAAAATGAACTTATTATCTTAATTCAATAGAGACAGTTCGATTTGTGGGAGTGTCATTTTGATGGAGTAGATATGACTCTATTGGCATATATATTGTCTTAATTTAGTAAAGAATACCTTGATATATTTAGATTTTAATTGGTTTGGCGCCAAGTTTGCTTGGTTTGGACGGGTTAGTGATGGATTGGAATGGGATGTCCTGACAAGAGTTCTATTAACTCATCAACAGACTCTAGGTTTACATTCTGAAAGTATTTGAAAAATGGGCCTTACAACTTTTGCTTGAAGTTGCCCGTAGGTTGGGTCTTATGACCTTACCCTATTTTTTTTCTTTGCAAAGCTGTCTGATTGAATTTGGGTTTGGAGCTAGCTTGACCTCATGGCTTATTTTCTTAGTGTCTTAAGCATACATTTTGAATTTGAGTGTGAACAATTTTCAAAGCTTATAGCCTTGGTTTAAAGAGTGCTTAAGAGAATGGATCTTACGACTTCGACTTCCAGGCAAGATCGCCAAGGGAAAAATTTGAAGCTGTCTTGACTTCCTAGTTTGTGTGCCACATGGCTCTAAAATGTATATTTGAGTTTGATTTGAATATTTTTTACTTATACAACCTCAATTTTAAGACTGTTCTAGGAGGTTTTAATTTAATCTGATAATTGTTCTAAATTCTATTGGGTTTCTAACTTTCTTTGTCTTTAAAAACCTTTTTTTTTCATTTTGATTCTTTTTGTCTTCCATTTTGAGAATTCAAAGTAGTTCATTTTGAGAGATGAAAACTAAGAAAGCTGAGTGCATGGACAATGATTGGAAATACTTGAGTTCGCAAGTAACCCTAATGGGAAATACATGAGTTCGCAAGCAAAACTAAATAATCGGTAAAACAGCGAGAAAAAAGGAAAAAAGTATGATAGAAGCACAATCAAATGACAATTAATATTATAGAAAGCAAAGCAAAACAAAAAGGGAGAAAAATAGAATTGATCCTTAATTCGAGAGGAGAATCATTCTCTCCAAATCTCTAGACAAGAAGCCTAGAGCCCAAGTAGCCAAGAAACCCTAATTTCAATAAATCAAAACATAATCCCTCCCTAATCCTCTCATCCTCTTTAATGCAAAAGTTTTCCTAATCTATTTTCGCTCCCAAGCCCCAGCCACCCAATCCTTTTCAATTTGAATTCCATAGGAGAAATGGGGCCCACACTAGAGCCAGCCAAAGCCAAGTGAAGCGGACGGTTTCCGCCTCCTTTAGAAAAATTGAGCCGGCCCTTGGTTCGGCTAGGGCAATTCAAGGTGAACCGGCCTAACAATACCGCCCTCCCAAAGAATCACCTTGTCCTCAAGGTGAAAACCAAGAAACTGATGTTTCACCCTCTCAAATGGCTCCCACATGGCCTCGTAGTTAGGGAGGTTCTTCCACTTAATCAACACTTCCTTAGTTCCATCTTTTTTTTTTTGACGAACCCTCGTCAGCTCTAAGGGTTCCAGAACCACCTCAAGATCCTCAATAAGTGTCACCGATAACTCGGAGCTGGCTATATAATCACCAATGTCCTTTCTCAGCTGAGATATGTGAAAAACTGGATGTATAGTCGTTGTTGGTGGTAATTTCAGTCGATATGCTACTGCTTCGACCTTCTCCAGCACTTTATAAGGTCCAAACTACCTAGGAGCAAGCTTTTCATTCTTATTGTTGGCGATTGTCTTCTGTCTGTATGGTCAGAGCTTCAAGAACACCCTTTCCCTCACTTCAAAATAGATGTCCTACCTATGCCCATTAGTCTGTTTCTTCGTAATTTGTTGGGCCCTCAGCATATGTCTCTTCAACCCCTCTAGCACTCTATTCCTCTCCTCCAAGTAGTCCTCTAATGAAGAAACTGGAGTACTACTACTCCCAAAATGCACCAAGTGGGGAGGATCTCATCCATACAACATCTTGAAAGGGTTCATCTGAGAAGCAAAATGAAAAGATGTGTTGTACCAGTATTCAGCTCATGATAGCCACTTGGTCCATAGCTTGGGTGTCTCCGACACAAAGCATCTCAGATAAGTCTCCAAGATCCTGTTGACTACTTCCGTTTGGCCATCCGTCTATGGGTGGTAAGCTATGTTCCTCTTTAGAATTGTCCCATGTAATCTGAATAACTCCTTGCAAAAGTGGTTGAGGAGCACCTTATCTCTATATGATATTATTGCCTTTGGTACACCATGCAATCTGATCACCTCTCTAATGAAAATTGAAGCCACTATAACTGCGGTGTAAGGGTGTTGAAGGGGGATGAAGTGAGCATACTTGCTCAATATGTTCACCACCAGTAAAATCACCGTGAAAACTTCTGAACGGAGTAGCCCACTATGAAGTCCATGGATATCTCCTCTCATACTCGTCCCGGTGGAACTAACGACTGTAGTAGTCCCCCTGGTGACATAGCCAGGTATTTGTTCCTTTGACATACCTCACATCTTGCCACCATCTCCTCTACATCTTTATGCATTCCCTTCCAATAAAGCTCTGAAGCTAGTCTCTTGTATGTCTTATGCACTCCTGAATGGCCCCCAATAGCGCCTCCATGAAAAACCTGGAGTAAGTTTGGGATGCGGATCGAAGTCCGGTGCATCACAAACCTCCCCTAATATAGCAGTCTGCCCCCCTCCAATGCGCACCCTGGGTGGCTACCCTCTTCCCTCAATAAATCTGCTCTGATCTTCCACAAATCCTCATCCCTAGAACTCTCCTCTCTGATGGCTCCTAATATAGCATCAAAGGAACATATAGTGCCATTATCTGCAGCTCCCCCATACATCTGGACAAGGCGTCTACCGCCTTATTCTTCACTCATGGTTTGTATTGAATCTCGAAATCATACTCCAGCAACTTGGACAGCCACCTCTGACGTTCCTCTATCACCATCCGATGTTCCAGTAGGTATTTCAAGCTCTTTTGATCTGTCCTAACAACAAAATACCTCCCAAGTAGGTAGGGCCATCACTTCTGGATAGCCAAAATAATGGCCATTAATTCTCTCTCGAAGACTGACTTCAACCTGGCTTTAACAATCAATACTTGGCTGAAATAGGCAATGGGCCTATAACTCTGCATAAGCACTGCACCCAACCCAAACTCAGATGCATCTGTCTCCACTATGAAGATCTAAGTGAAATTTGTTAAAGCTAGGACCGGTACTGTAGTCATAGCCTTCTTCAAGCTCCCAAATGCTGATGTGGCTGCCTCTCCCGATAAGAAATCGTCATTCTTCAACTGCTCTACGAGTGGCCATGTTATGGTGTTCTATCCATTTACAAAACCTTTTATAGTAACCTGTCAGTCCTAGGAATCCCCTTAACTCCTTCAAATTTTTAGACACTGACCATTTCAACATTGCCCCAATTTTGGACTAATCTGCTGACACCCCTTATTTTGATACAACATGGCCCAAGTTCTCTACAGTGGCTTGTGCGAAGCAGCACTTCTTCAAATTGGCTCTCAGCTGGTGCTACTACAGCACCTCTAACACCCTCTTCAAATGCTCTCAGTGCTCCTCTTCCGTCCTGCTATAGATTAGGATATCGTCGAAGAATACCAGTACAAATCGTTTGAGATAAGATCTGAAAACCTTATTCATAAGTGCCTGGAAAGTGGCTGGAGCATTGGTGAGGCCAAAAGGCATCACCAGGAACTCGTGGTGTCCCTCATGAGTTCGGAAGGTAGTCTTGGGCACATCCTTCTTAATCCGTATATGATGGTATCCTGATTTCAAATCTATCTTGTTGAAGATCATTGTTCCACTCAATTCATCTAACAGCTCATCAATAATTGGTATAGGAAACTTATCAAGTACAATTTCCTTGTTGAGTGCCTTGTAGTCCACACAAAATTGCCAATTGTCATCTTTTTTCTTCACTAATAGAACTGGACTAGAGAAGAGACTGACGTTGGGTCTGATGATTCTTGCCAATAACATCTCTCTAATCAACTTTTCAATTTCATCTTTCTGAAATTGAGGATAGTGATAAGATCGTACGCTGATGGGTGACACACCCTCCCTCAAAATGATGGCGTGCTCCTGCTCCCTCTGCGGTGGCAATACCTGAGGTGGTTGAAACACCTCTTGGAACAATTGAATCAGCGGCTGTATGGAGAGGGGAATATCCCCCCCCCCTCTCTTCCAATCTAGCTCCCTCCAAACTGTGTAGCTCCACCAAATATCCTCCATCTGTGAACTGTATATCCTTCACCATAGTTTTAAGAGAAACCATGAATTTGGATAGCGCTGCATCTCCCTTAATCACCATCTTCCTTCCATCCACCCTCAACTCCATCGTGAGTGCTCCCCAATTCACTTTAGTGTCTCCCAGAATCTGCAGCCATTTCATCCCCATGATGACATATGTACTCCCTAACTCTAATGAAAGAAAATCTTCCCTCACTTGAATCCTCTGGATAGTTAGTAGCACTCCTCTGGCCTATCTCCACCTTCTCCATACCCACATCACCCCGTAGCAATCGGCATCCACCAATCTCACTCTCAATAGGTCGACGACCTGAGTGGAAATAAAATTGTGAGCAGCCCTACTATCAATCAGTACCACAACCTCCCTGTCCTGTATCTCCCCTTTCATCTTCATGGTATGATTCGTAGTGAATCCTACCATCGAGTTCAGGGAAACCTCGACTGGATCCAAATGCAACTTCTCCTCCATCTCCTCCCCACTTCCCTCCTCAGTTTCCTCATCATCACAGAGGGTGAGAACCTGAAGAGTTCGATCCTTGTACTGATGCCCTGGCGTATACTTCTTGTCGCACCTGAAGCACAACCCCTTAGCCCTCTTCTCCTGCATCTCTTTTTATGTCAACTGCTTGAAATTTTTCCCACTCCCTCGTCCTCCTGTATTCTCCTTGGCGGCCTCCCGACTCCCTCTTATTGCTGGACCTATAGGTGTTAGATGGGTGGTCGTCATCCTGTAAGTGCTCCGGTGTTGTTACTCCAAGCTCCCCTCTCCAAATTTCTCTGATTTTCAACTAACTGTTCCAACTTCATGGCCTCCCCCAAGTCACGAGGGATCAGAACCTTCACCGCTGCTCGAATCTCTGCCTTCAACCCTCTCATGAAGTTCCCCTCCAATACAATATCCGATAATCGCTCCACCTTATTGGATAGGTGCTCAAAACATTCCCGGTAGGCTGCTACTGATCCCTCCTCTGTCTGAACAAAGAACTGCTCATAAAAATCTCCTTCCCGATCGGTTTGGAAATGTTCTATTATGAAGTCTTTGAATTCCCTCCAGTTCCTGATAGGTCTCCTCTGATCTCTCACTGATACTATGACAGATCCTTCCCTTCCAAGCACAAGCCTGTCGTTGTCAGCTTCTCCTCCTCCGTCAGCCCATTGACGGCGAAATATCTCTCCACCTTATAAATCCACCATATACGTCATTTCCTTCAAATATGGGCATCTTCAACTTCCTAACCTTCTGATCACCACCATTACCCCTTAATATTCCATAGTTTCCCCTCTCCTAAGTACTGGCCCTCCCCACATTTCCCAGTCTTCCCTTGCCCTACCATAGCCGAAATTCCCTTCAAATTCCCCTCTTCTTTAAAATCAGCATCTTGGCTGCCATAGTACCCTTCCTTGCATTCCTCATATACACCTCCTCTTTCTTCCCTCTGAATAGACTCCATATGGGTCTTCGTCTTTCTCCTTCCATGATTTCCACCTCATCTTTCTCCCTACAAATTTCAAAATTCGGCCGTTTCCCTTCCACCCATTTTGCCACGGAAGTCATTGTTTTGTTTTGTACTTCCAACATTTTCTTCATCATGTCCCGTAGATCAGCTACTTGTCCTTCCATGGAGAAAATCTTTTCCTCCACCGTTGTCTTGATTTGATTCATCTCCCCTTCAAGCTTTTCTTCCAAAGCATCCACCTTCTTGGCCGTCATCACTATCCAAAGTTTGTATATTCACAAAATCTGATTTTGGGTTTCAGCAATTTCCCTCTTTTCCGGACCAAAAACCACTGTCGGAATTTGCCGAAAATAGCCTTCCACCGGTCTCAAGACTTGCTCTGATACCAATTTGATAGGAAATACTTGAGTTCGCAAGTAACCCTAATGGGAAATACTTGAGTTCGCAAGAAAACCTAACAATAATCGATAAAACAGCGAGAAAAATGAAAGAAAGTATGGTAGAAGCACAATCAAACGACAATTAAACTTATAGAAAGCAAAGCAAAACAAAAAAGGAAGCAAGATACAAGTGATCCTCAATTGGAGAGGAGGATCATTCTCTCCAAATCTCTAGACAAGAAGCCTAGAGGCCAAGTAGCCAAGAAATCCTAATTTGAATCAATCAAAACATAATCCCTCCTAAATCCTCTCATCCTCTTTAATACAAAAGTTTTCCTATCTATTTTTCCTCCCAAGCCCTAGCCGCCCAATCCTTTTCAATTTGAATTCCATAGGAGAAGTGGGGCCCACACTAGAGCCGACCAAAGCCAAGGGAGGCGGACTGTTTCCGCCTTCTATAGAAAAACTGAGCTGGCCCTTGGGCCAGCTAGGCCAGTTCAGGATGAACTAGGCCAGTTCAGGATGAACTAGGTCAGTTCAGGATGAACCAGCCTAATAGACAAGTGCTGACTTGGTGAGGAAGCTGGATGAAAATGAATAGTTTCTTTTAGGTATGCATAGTTAGATTTTTTTTTTCTTTTCAATTCAAGTATCTTTACTAAGGCAATTTTAATTGATCAATATGCATAGATTTTTTGGGATCCCTTAGTTTTTGTGTTTTCTCCAATAGGCAGCATTTCAACATTGTCTTGAATGGTCAACAATGCAACATCAAGTTCAAAGGGGGAGTGTAATCGATTATCTCTTCACATTTGATTTCATACTAGGAAGATCATAAAAAGTTATTTTTTGTGTTAATACAATTAATGAAAATGTTTAAGGAGAATAGAAAAGACAGCTGCAGAAGCGGAAGAGAAGGTTAGGATAGATAGATTCAGATCCTTTCATGTAGGAGAGTCTTTGAAGGGCTCGGATCCTTTACATGATTTCATGTGAGGAGCCACCTTTGACGGGCTTTGAATTTGGACAGATCCAGCGGGCCTTCTTGTCATTTTTAGGACTTTTTGGGATGGGTCGGCCCGTGTATGTAGGCTTGGTCATTCGGGCCTTGGGCACCTGTGGGCCGTATAATTGGGGTGCGTCATTTGACGACTCAGTGCATGGATGTCACGAGTCCATTGGCATAGGCTTAGGCCTATTTCGTAAGTGAGCAGTTTTTGGCAGGCCTGGAGATGGAAAGTGGAAATATGCCCATTTTTTCATAGTTCAGGTAAGAAAAGATATGATATGTTTAAATAGCATAGATCTATTATACTGAAGGGTATCAATATATATATATATAAAATTGATAGGGTTAAAACTAAATGATTAAAATGAAGAAGTGCCAATTATGTTAAAGGAGGTTATCATGGAGAATTAAAGGTAAATTTTTATAAATTATAACTAGGTTGGCTATAATGTATAGATCTAATTATTAGAAAGTAAAAAATTGCATGATAACTAAGTTGAGCATAATAAAAATAAGAATATTAAGATAGAGGAATAGAAAAAATAAAAAATTAAAATTAAAATTGATTTATTGAAGATAAAGCTGGAACAAATATTAAAATAATAATTGACATTTGCAATGAAGGGTGCACAAAAAACCAGTAGATAGGAAGATAGTATTAGTCTAGAAGGATTATGAAGGAAAATGATAGACATAATATTATGTATTTAAGTTTTTCAAAAAGATTTGAGAAGAATAAGTTCAATACCTCATGCAAAACTTAGCAAGAATGATTGAAAAAAAAAAGGATTTATAAAGCATACCACAAAGTCTTCTTTTTTTCATACACCATTTAAAAAAAATATAATCTAACTTACATCTGTTTGTGAAATGAATTGCAAACAATGCAAATTAGTCGGTGCAAAGTAACCAATTAAGCCTGTCCATTTAAATTAAAAAATACTATAGAAAAACAAAAACCAGCATCTAATGATAAAAAAAAACAGTTATATTTGTGTTTTTTGGGACATTTGAGCCATTAAGCCAAACTCACACACACATCACACAAGACCTCTTAGTTAGCAACCAAGGCCACCGACCAAGATCAAGGTGAGCTGCGTTAAAATTTGCACGTACATAAACCAAGTAAACTTAAATAGTGACGAGTAACTAGCCTCGTTTAACGACTCCTATGGATCAGCTTTCTAGATCATTTGATAATATTTCTTTTTCAGCAGTGGTAAGAGCAAAAAACAATTTATGCAAGTAGAATGGTTGAAAGCAGGGCTACTGTCTGTTGCTACAAGATCACATTAGGATGAAGAGAAATGGACAGTAGGGCACAGGAATTCCGAAACACACCTGGTTCGTCTGTTCCGTCGGGACAGTCGCAGAAGCCATCGTTAAGACGTTTCCGATTGAAGGTTTTGGAGCCGTCCCTGCAAGCGATGCTGGCTGCCGAGTAGTACTTCTCGTCTTGAGGGGATATTCCAAGGAAAGAAGAGGAAGGGAGCAGCGACACAGAAGAGGCACGAAGAGAACAGGCGATAAGAAGGCCAGCGCAAACGAAGAAGCGGCGGCGAACGACCGACAGCATCGGCCGGCCAATTTATTGCATTCTTCGCCGCCGAGAATGCGATCCGATTTTGTTTAAAAGGGTTTACATTTACTTGCTGGCTGACTACTCAAGTAATGCAATGTGCAGTTCGTTTTGCTACTTTGCTAGAAGAGGATTCCTAAGTTTTATTTTTTTTTTAACGAAATATATATATAATGTTGTAGTTTATTATTGATGTAATATAAATTTAATTTAAAAAATAGAGCAAAAAGGACAAATTAGTTTTTTTTTTTTTCTTAAGAAATGCTCATGGCAATTTATTAAAAGAAGCTTAATTACAACCTACACAGTAATAGAAACACTGTTACATTCATCCTTTAATAATAAAATAAATGAAGTAGAAATCTTATTACAATTAATATCATCCTAAATAAAATCAGAAAAAAGAGCATAATTAGCACAAAACTTAGCTAACTTATTACAATTCTTATTAGAAAAATGATAAAAAGCTTGATTAAAACAACTTAAAAAAGATAAATCTTCCATGGCAATGAAATCCTTGTTCTAATAAGTCTTATCTGATAAGGTTTGAATGGATTTGATAACATTATAATTATCTCCTTCTATAATAATTCCTTTCGCTTCAAGCATCCAATTTTGTACAACTTTTTTCAAAGAAGTGATGGCTAATATCTCCAGTTGTAAAATGTCTAAGTGAAGACATCTGAAACCAAAAGCAAATAAGAATCTTCCTTTATAATCTCTAAACACTCCACCTATAACTGATTTATTTGATCTCAACAACGATGCATCGATATTTACTTTAATCCATTCGAGAGTAGGAGCCAAAAGGAATGAGACAGCTGATAAAACTGGTTCGCACCATAGTTTTTTGAATATAGATTAAATGTAAAGGATGCAACATCAAAACTAACTGCATTAGCCGCCACAAACACAGACATCTTCCTGTCCACCATGTTTAATCTTATTTATGCTCTTCCAAGAAAAAAATACAGCTGAACAGTACATATTCTCAATGAAAGGATCAATAGTAGCTAACTTTTCCAGACTCTTATTACATTCATCAAGAGAACAGACCAAATTAGTTTACTTTTTCATAGAAAATATAAAATGACTGTGCGTTTTCCATATCTACTAAAATGGTTTTTTCTATGTAAATAATATTAAATATGTAAGAAATGTAGAATTAATATTTCTGTAATAATTTTGTAAGGAAATATTTAATTATATATATATATATATAAAACATAATTTACTTTCTTTATAAAAATGTTTATTAAAAAATGTAATTGAAATATTTAATTCAAAATTAATGAATCAAAATGTAAATTTAATTAACATAAAAATATTATGTATTTAATTAAGTTTAGTTTATTTTTTATTTTAATTCATTTTTAAATTAATTAAATTTGAATTAATTTTAATTTTAATTTTATTCATTTATTTTTTAATCAAAACAAAAATTATATTTTTCATTGATATTACTAATAAGTGAAAATGCAAGAGCCCATTTTCATACATTTATAAACCCTTTTTATGAGAAGGACAAACACATTGTAAGTCTATAAGAAGAATTCACTGCAAATTTTGTGACCAAATAAATTTGTCATGATAACATATTAAGTCGTAAATAATGATCTTTTTTAGGACTAATACTAACATTAAATTCCCCTTTCATTGTTGTAAGCACAATGCATAAGAGGCCCACAATTGGGTTTTTTTTTTTAGGCCCACAATTGGTTGACTTTATAAGAAACTATCAAGTAGGTTATTATTGTGCATAAGTTTGGAGTTATAATGTCTATTTAAGAGCAATTGATATGAAGTATGGAAGCACTCTAATTAGATTTTTTTCTTTGTAGTTTTGAAGGTCATCTATCTTATAAGCTTGCTGAGGAATAGTCTTAAGAAAGCCAATGAGTGGTCTTTCAGCCCTCTATTAGAACTTATAGCTCACCAAAGGACTATAAGTGAGACATCATTGAATCCTAGATTATAAAAATAATAAAATGCCGACTCAAACATAATTACAAGCGCGATTATATAAGTTGCTACGGAGAAGATCTGAGGAAGCTGAGAGACAGTATGCAAAATGTTTTGTATTGCTCTCTTGATTTTTTATGTAGTATTTTTTGGATGGTCATTTAGATGAAATTATACTTTTTGCTCTATCATACAATTGTGGTGTATCTGATATTCTCAAATTGATAGTATTAAATGTTCTTATTTGCATAGTCATATCACCACAGAAAAAAATTCCAACAGATTACGAGAAGATGAATTTTTCATCCACAAATTGGTGGAATTTATGTCGGAAACTATACATTCCATTCAGAAAAAATTTATGGCGGAATTAGTACAAAAAAAAAAAATCACTAATAACTAGTGAAATTTCCTACGGAATTTATGCTATAAATTTCTACTTAACTTTGTAAGTGAAAACCTCTATTTCCCTGCCCCCCCCCCCCCCCCCCCCCCCCCCCCCCCCCCCCCCCCCCACACACACACACATTTTATACGTAAACAAACCCTAACCTCCATTTTAACTCTCATCCCCTTTTATATTCATGCTCATTTGAAGTAGTTTCACAACTAGTTTTCTATATTCTTCCTAGAATTTACATGTAAATCTTCATCTCTTTTAAAAATTTTAATCATTTGAAGATTTCATCCATCATATTTTATTAAAAATAGATATGAGGTTCTTAGGTTTTTGTTTCTTTTTTTAATAAATTCTTTAAAATTGAGTTTCTTTTCATGTAATATACTTTCTAGAAAAGTCTAGCAAAGATTCCTAAATTATGGGATTAAAAATAATTCATTGAAAAATATTTAAGTATTTAATGACCTAAAACTTGGTTACATAATTAAATTTGTAAGGTTGACTAAAATGGATAGTTAATTAGATAAAAATTGGTTAAGTAAACCTATTGGCTAGTCCAAGGGTTTAAGTAATAACTTCGAACAACTTGATTGAGTTTAATAGGAATGGTCCTACATAAGTAAGGGCGGAACCATCCTTAATTTTTAGGGGGAGGAAAATTTATAAGTAAAAGTGTAGAGATCTTGCAAATATGCCGAGGTTCCAAGGGGGTAGTGCCCCAAAAACAAATTTTGGTTGTAAGGATATTTTTGGATTCAGTTTACAATTTCTCTTTGTATTTGGTTCATTGTTGTCTAACAATAACACTTTTACACAATGTGTTTAATCATGTTGAAGGCAATTGCCTAAAGACCATAGTATTTAAAAACTTTTAAGGGTGTCAATTGTTGCAAATATATTTTCATGGCTTATGTTTTGATGATTGACAAACACTATTTCTCTTGTACTGCTTGTTGCTTCTAACGTTTCAGGAATCGAAGATCGGACGAACAAGACGAAGCCAATTCAGGATTGCGTAGGTTTAGGGTTTAGTCAGTCTGTACTTTTGTTTTTTACTTTTTGAGTCTACTTGTAATGGTCAAAGAGACTGATGCTAAGCAACCCTACACACACACACTTGAGAGATTTAGAATTTAG